ATTCCTGCTCTGTTCCGCCCGTGGTAGAAGTTAGGGCCTGTAGCCGCGGAAAGCCGCCCTTCTTGTTCCCAACCTTGGGCTTCAATGTTCCTGTTAAATGTGCAGTTTGTGAAATTAGTCCCTTTATTTTTTTCACAACACTTGAAATTTCCACGCTGCTTGGTCTTTGTAATCCAAACAGTCCGCGTTGAAATTGAACTTCCACGACGAGGCTGTTTGGTCCTTATAGTCCAGGCAGTCTGCAGCGCCGCTAAAGCCGAGCCCCGCCGCTCCGTACGCCGTCGTGGAGAGGGAGGACGCGGGGCTCAGGTGGTTGGTAACCCCGTTGTTGCCCATGGGGCTCATGGTGGTTCCCCCGGCGGATAGTTGGTGGTGCATAGGTGAAAGGTAAGAACTGCAGTCCATCCCGGTGAAATAGGACGAAGATCCCGTGTAACCCTGGTTGTAGCCGGACGCTTGGGTGTAGGTCATAGGGTAAGAGCGCTGCATGCAGGAGGATGAGGAGGTAGACAGCGGGTCCGAGAGCGGGGAAATGGAGACCGGGCTCCAGATAGAGACAGGCGCCGCACTGCTGCCTATAGCCGGTAGCGAGGTGCTCGAGGGCGGCGTAAACTGGCCGCTGGCTCCGCTCTCCGAGCTGGCCTCTGTGACCGGAGAGCCTTTCTTTTTCACAGGTCTGCTGACAGTTTTGTTCTGCACTCCACTTTGGGTTTGCTGGGCTTGCTGGCGATGTTTGGCTCGTCGGTTTTTGAACCATACCTGGAAGGAAAGTGCTTTTAAATTAAATTCAGATTGGGGTTTTAAATTAAGTGATTTTTTTTTGTTTAGATTAAAGATATGCTACTCTACAAACTCTGCAGTATAAATGTAAATTGGAGGGGTAAAGTGCAGGCGATCAGAAAGCCAAATATTAAAAAAGTTTCATAGCAGAATATTATGAATATTTTTTCCCCAAACTTTCCATTTATAGTTTTCTATAAACTTTACAGCCTTTACCTTTTGTCAGTCTAGGCTATACAAGGGCCTGTAGGCTGCATTTTATTCTGAAAATAAAGTGGGTTGCTAAATTTAAAAAACTTCACAGTGGGAATCAATTTCAGAAAACATCTGTAGAAGTGACTAGGACACTTTATCCCCAGATGAAGTGTTGCAGCTATCAGGGACCAAATACCTGCCGTGAATTGTGGAAGGTTCAGGTTGGAAACTCACCTGCACTCGGGATTCAGGCAGGTTTATCTTTAAGGCCACCTCTTCCCTCATGAAGATATCAGGGTACCGAGTCTTGGCGAACAGACTCTCCAGCACGTCGAGTTGGGCCCGAGTGAACGTCGTCCTCTCTCTCCTCTGTTTGCGAGGGGTTGCTGATAAGAAGGCGGAAAAACAATGATTATGGAAATAGGAAGCGGATTAACACATGCCTCTGGAGATTTCAAGATAACATTTGAAATATATCAACCTAAGATCGTGTAAAATATGTCTGATCTCAGAAATATGACCTTCTATACTACAACATTTATATTAAAGAAGCAAAAGAGTAGGGTTTCATTTATAGTGAAGCTTTGAGTCTGGTGGCAAAAGCATGGCTATGATGAGAAATAAAAATCGTCATTCATTCAGTTGTTAATGTAAACATGGAAATTAGACCAGTACGGATTAATGTAAAACTATTGGAAACGAGTTTGGGAACTTTCAGGTTGTTTTAGATACAGACTCTTTTTTTTTATTAACAAACTATTTAATCATTAACGAATAAGTTCCTATTTGCCTAATGAGTTATGTTGGTCTTTGGTTCTTGTTACCATTGCTAACTCTGAGAGACGAGACAGTCCAAGTAACTTCAAAACAGTGCTGATTTATTCCATGAACACAGGTAAAATTAACATTACACGCTCAGGTATCTTCCACCTCCAACCTGCACGCAGGCAGATGTAAGATGAAAGCCCCTGAACCCACCAGGCCTATACATTATATCCCCTCGGTTGGGCTAGCCCCATACAACACAGAAACGTCAACCGAGACGTCTCTGTTACCAGCTTTGCAACTGGCCATAGCAGTAGTCAAAACATGAAGCAAATCAATGTGTGTGTGTCTGTTGGTTAAGTGGTGTGTAGCTAAAAACATTCTCACAACCTCTAGTACATGTTGTGACTTAAACATAAGAACATATTATGGCTAAGGCTACAGTTATACACGTCATAATAATAATATTAAACACCCTGTCTGCTGACAGTCATCAACTCTTCTCTCTAGTTATCCTTGACCAGATGTACCCTGTAGAAACTCATAAGCATGACTAAGCATTTAACAGTCTAACTAGACATCTTATCTCCACTAAACATTTCTAATACATAAAGTATCTATCCAATATCTATCTGACTAAAAATACCTAACAGTTACTAAGAAAAACTGTAGCGCCCTGATACCTTGGTATCCCACTGAAGGATGCAGCAGGTCCACTCCTGAGGTAGATAAACTCAGTCCGTTCACCGTGTACGGAGGCTGCTTCAGATAGGACATCATGCTGGCGCCCGGACTGATGAGAAGAAATCTTTAGAAATATGGCAGAAATTTCTTTGTAACTCTTCTCTTGTGTCCGATTGGTATTTCACCTCGTCCAGATCAGCTTGAAACGGGACGTAAAACAGGGGAAAAAACAAGTGTTGATTTTTCCTGAGGCTGGTCAGATTTGTTCGTCCGCTGATTTTTACGCGCAGCCTTTACGCACCACGATCGGTTTAAAGAAGTGGGCGTCCTCGGACTCGTAGGGCTCTTAAAGCGCAGAGAAGACCCCCAGCTGGACTGAGGATGCACTGTCAGAATGACAGCACCACCCCCCCAGCACCACCACCATACACACACTAACCGCTACTATAACACCGCCCCCTTTGTGCCCCCTCCAAACACACTCCTCCTTTCCGAGTACCACCAAAACAAAACATTGTCGTTAAAATGCGCACACTCGTTGGGCCCCAACCGGGATCTCAATTAGCATATACCCACAGGTTAGGTGGAGCTAAATAGACAGCTGATTGGGGGCCATTTGCAGAAACAAAGCCCACTGTTGACTGATAAGTAATGCTGATAACAAAAGAGTTCAGGGAACAAACAAAGAAGCCAAAACTGCAAACTGAGCGCCCTTTCAAAAACAACCGAGCATCTTCATTTCTGTATCTGGGGCTATTGTCTGTTTCCACCAAAACGCTTGTACATTCAAATGGAACGAAACGAAACGATTTCAGGTAAAATGGAGGGACTGCCCCAAAGTGAAGCCTAACATGAACCATACTTCTCGGGGAGATCCCCCCTCTTTCACTAATGAATTGCTCCCGGTAATTAGATTTGGAAGGTGAGACTGTTCAAAAGTGTTGATTAAAGAGAAACACTTAATCTAGGGATGTGGCCCTCGAAAGTCCTGCTCTGGAAAAAATACAGGAAAAACGTGCACTTCAGTCTCACAAAAATTCTCATGCCCAGTTGGTGAAAGAACGACTTTATCTAAACGGAGTCAGTTAACGTTTTATTTAAGTAATCGAGCAACAATTCTAAAACTTTGTGGAACGAAAAAATAGCATATATAACATTTATAGCAACCAAGTAATATTCTATATATATTCTACATATATATATTTATTTATATTGGCCTAAATGTGGTATGACGTCACATGAGTATTAAGCTGTTTGTGAAACAAATGTGTACATAGACATAATGTCACCAACATTAATTCATTTTAGTGTTACAGATAAAGCCTAGAGGTTAAGGTTATTTCTGGGCTTAATAACAGAGAAAAATGTTAAATCTCAAAAAACCTTCCAATGTTTAATAGGCCTTTATAGTTTAATTTTAGCAGGCTAATAACTCTTTAAGTAGTAGCTGCTGAGGCTGCTGTCTGAGGCCTGTGGCAACGTTTCCCAGTGACACCTACTTGCAGAGTAAAGCTCCCAGGACTTCGTTTTATAGAGCCAATAACCGGAGGTGGAAAGTAACTAAGTACATTTGTTGAGATATCTTTACTTTACTTAAGCATTTTCATTTTCCTTTACTTGGACTTCACTACAGACCCTAAGTAAAGGATCTGAGCACTTCTTCCACCACTGCCAATAACGGCCACTTCTATACTCAATCTGTCACTTTGTTCACCCTGGGCTACCGGTTGCTCCACATCCGTTCAATAATACAAATCCCCGCCCAGCCAGTATGGCTACAGGATTATTATTTTTTTTTTGTTCGTCTTCATTCTGTAAGAAATTAACGAGATAATCCGGACGGCACGCGTTGGTCTGATTACAGGACGCCAGCCACGACTCCGCAATCAGGCCTCCTCAATTTTCTGCGTCACGAAAATTAAACAAAGACTGGCATTGTATTTCTCAGACCAGCTGACTGGCAGACAACCAGCCCCCCTCCCCAACCTACAGCTCCTACACAACCAGCTCACTTTCCCAAACGGACTTAAATGCACCATTATTATAATAATTATTAAATATTTTTGATTCAGTTTGTAACAAGATTTCGTAAATGTCAAAATTAATCTAACTGCTAATAAAGCGACACAAGTTGATTAAAATTAATGTGGAATTTTATTTTCTTAACTAAGACCAAGAATTGATTGTTTTGTTGTTGTTGTTTAAGGACTTTATCCCAGTTTATATGATAAATACAACCATCAACTTGACTTTAGGTTTACAGTCCCTTCTAATTCTACAGTCAGACATTCAGCAGTGTATTATCTGAAGTTGGGGGCTGTTCCCCTCTCTTTATTAATCTGCTGACTGTCTCTCTGTGGAGCTCACAGGGGCGAGGGGGAGACAGGTTCCCTCTTGGCTTGGTTTTTTACTTCGGCTCAGCAGAATGGTTACACCAAGCAGCTTTGATGACTTTCCTCCCGCCTTGCTTGTCGGATGCGAATAATACTCGGAGATGTCAGTGCCAGGAATCTTATCTGATGAAAATGAGACAAAAAATTATGGGGACAGGTGTGAAAGGAAGCAGCAGCTGGAGTTAACATGGCCTAATGGTGGCAACATCAGCTCCAAAGTACCACTGATTATATGGAGCTAATTAAGGGCACAAATATTTAAGGCCCAGGCGATTTTAAATAGCGATCAAGTGTATTTAAACTCCATGTTAGTGTTTTTGTTTGTTTGTTTTTGCAGCAAAGACAGGTCTACTTTAAAGTACAGGTGTGCTGCAGCAACCAATCCGATCGGATTTGTTGTCTGTTCCAGTCAGCCAATCGGCAGACATAGTGAGACTAATGAGCAAGCAAAATTTAGGCCATTTAAACTGATTCGTTTTGTAGCGAGAAGTGAAAATAACTTGGGGATCTGTCACGGTTTGATCCTGTAACCCAGTAAAGAGATTTAAGAACAGAAAAGAAAACAGAGG